CTACAACAAAATAATTTACAAATGCTATAGGGCAAACTACCAAGATACCTCGATGTTGTAGATGCCAATTTTCCCATCAAAAGAAGATGCTGATATAACTCCCGGTATTTTTGGGTACCAATGAACATCAAAATTCCAATTGTTGCCAGCAGGTAACTCAGCCACAATCTGATACGGTTGGATCAATTTCAGTCAAAATAAAGATTAGTTCAACTAATTAGCCAATAAAAGCTAGCAAATCCGTATCTTTAATCAATTCATTTTTCCTACCTCGGCTGTATTAGTGTCCCAGCAAATAGTTCGATTGTCCTTAGCACAGGTAAGAAGATATGAGCTGTCACTAGGACACCATTCCATTGCAATCACACCTGTCAGGTAAGAAGTATCACAACTACATTTCACCAAGACTTCAACACTAGAAAGAATGAAGACAACAAGACTATGATATTATGGCACCACTAAATGACACTAAGATGGCTGATCTACACGGCTTTTCACTTATCAACAATAGAAATCTATCGAGACAAATAGAAACTTTTCCCTTATCAGCAATCGAATATACCAAGATAAAACAGAAACACTGAAAGAAAAGTATTTTGATAGCAATGATTTGAAAAATACCTCTTTGGTGTCCAGAAAACTCGCGCACAGGTGACATTGTATTCCTCATGTCCCAGAGCTGATTGCAGATACTTTACATCACTAAAAGAAGCCAATTTAAACTATGTAAAGCAAGGCATTAAATGATTCCTTACCTTCAGAGTAGGTGAACTGTCGTCATCTGATGCAACCATTATCTGAGTAGCAATGTCAGGGTTCCATTGTAAAACAGAGCACCGGCGTCGAACTGAATCTGCGAAGCTGTTGAGTGATAATAACTAGATCAAGATTTTGATAGCACATACTGAGCGCCTCAATAAAATGACTTCAGAAACTGAATACTTACTTAATTATAGGCTTCTGCTTCCTCAGGTCCCAAATTACTGGGGAAAAACAATTAACACGGTTGAGCAGAAGCAGAATTAGAGTTGACAGAAATGAACTACTGATTAACCAGATAGAGGAAAAGGGAGATAACAGTGGTTCTCACCCGTAGTCCCATTGTATGAGGTAGATGCTAATATCTGCTGAACTTTTCTATTCCACGATATAAAGGAGATTTCACCTTGCGTAGCAGAGCCAGTGCCCTGCATAAGGCGCCCATAAAGTTAGATATGCTCCAGGATTCAATCAACAAATACCATGCAGTGTATGAAAATGCAAATACAAGTAAGGTATCTTGACTTGTAAGAAGAGGTGGTATACCTTGAGAAGTGGAAAATGAGAAGGCTCTGAAGGCTTTGCTAAATCCCAAATGCAAATCTCACCATCATCAGCACCAGAAGCAAGTAGATTAGGGGTGATAACATTAAACTCAAGACCACGAACCTGAAAAAAAAAGATATGTAGCACGCACACATCAAATGGGGAGTGAGTGTTACACAAAACAACGTTGTTTGTTTATCAAGCAGAAAGATAAAACTCACGGGCCCTTTGTGAACTGTAAGATGTCCAACGAGTGCATTTTCACTGGACTGGGAACTGAAAAATCGTGACAGTTGTTCGGGTTAGACTTGTCCAGATGAAAATTCGATACGAAAAGCAAACTAGACAATGGTTTCGATCACTACGCAGAAACAATGATCACTCGGATCCAACATGATAGCTTATGAATTCAATTGCATAGAAATAGTAGAAAAGAGAAAAGGAGGAAAGGAAAAGCACCTGATCAAAGAGAGCGGATTCCACAGATCTATATTCCCATCGACAAGGCCGCCGGCAATAAGACCAAGGGAGAATTCCTCGGATCCAGATCCGTTTTTACCCCACGCGAGCCTATTGAAGCGCTCGGAGCTAGGGCTTTCCCCAACGAGAGTCAGGTCGCGATCGTCAGACTGAAAGTCGAGCTTAAAGATCTCGAGATTGGCGGAAGAGCTAAAGGACAGATCGACGGCTCCGGCCATGGTACCAGCGGCCATGTAAGGAGCATCGGGAGCAAGAGCGACGGAGGCGGATCTGCCCACCCCCTTGATGCAAGCCATGATAGAGGATCGGG